CTATAAAAAACTACCCAATCCTTGCATGAGGATCACAGGAGGGTCAGCAGAAGGTGGCTAAAGCTTTTCTTCCCTTGGCTCCAGCAATCAGGAGAATTAATCTGTGTTCTGGGGTCCCCTGCTATTTAAGCAGCTCCCAAGGGGTTCTGGGAGGGACAAAATTACCTTTCCCTCCAAAAAGATGATCCAGTCAGATCTAGGATTTTGCAAATATCTTCCTTCATATCAATGGTGCACAATCTTTTTTATAGCCCAAGGATGCACCCTGAAGTTGGACTAAAATTAAAAGGATGAATCCCTATAATGACTATATTATAAATTACAATTTGGCAGCAATTTTAGTGGGGAGATTGGTTGTACATCACTATCTGTGCTTTACAAACGGGCGAAGGATTAGCCCATTTAATCCCACTTTCCGGATGTACATTACGCATGAAGAAAAACCTTCACTCTCTTAGTACCTTAACTAAGTATACTGCAGCCTCTCTATAGCCGAAGCTGTGTGCCACAGAAACCAGATTGAAAGCAGGGACATGCTAAGGGCACAGGATTCTTCTCCCGTTTCTTTTCTAGAAATTTATTGCAGGAATGTGGTGTAAACAGTCCCAGCACGGAGCAAAGTTCTCACAGTTCTCTTTGTTCTCTGTAGCAAAGTTATGAGACTATCAGCTTGTTTGTTGTTCAGCTTTTATTAATATCTGACCCTGAACTAATTCCTAACTTAGCCATGAGTATGTTTACACATTTCAACTTCCTAGTACAGGGCTACTTTTTGTAAAATCAATACACAGCCCAATCAGAAGTATTTGAGGGAGGCCTTTTAACCCAAATCGCTTCTAATACAGCTATCATGGAAACATATATCAGAAATTACTAGGTTGGTTTATTTTTGTTTGAGAGACTGCTTCTGCAGACTATTTCACTGGTCATGGTGATGTTTCACTTCTGCTTTCATATACTAAAAAGTGTACAAAGAGACTCAAAGACTTGCTAATATCAAAAGACACTTCACCCAACTTCCTTCCAGGTACGTCCAGGCTACAATGTCCCAAACTCCCAGCCAATATGGCTGTTGCAATTCTTGGAGCTGTAGTGCCAACATGTCTAGAGGCTGTGCTACAGTATGTAAGCAATATGCAGATATTTGCTAGGCGCAGTTCTAAACACAGGATTGGGCATTCTCTGCCCTGGTTTTCAAAATCTGCAGCCCACCCCAGGCCCTACTGCCTGGCGCTGCAGGATTTGCAGTACCTGATGACTCCGGCAAGCAAGGCTAGCTAAGAGTCCTTACCTATATGCCCAGCAAAACCAACCAGGTGACCTACACTTGCTAGACCAGTTTTTTTTTTGGCCATGTAGCTTCTTAGGTAAATGAGAGAGACGGGCAGTGACTAAATTTGAAAAAATAAATAAATAAATAAATGCTACAGACAGGTCCATGTCTACAAAAGATACTGGACAGTGTGACAAAAAGCTGGACAGTTGAGACTGTCTCATTTCTTTGAGCATCACATGGAACTCAACCCACACCCTTTTCAGCTCAGACCTGAAAGGGAGAACTACATTTCTAACTTAACTGAATCTATACTCATTTTTACAGATGGCCACGTATACACAAATAATTTTGACTGTTCTTCTTGATGAACTATCATGGGGATATCCATCTGATGGTGTCTTGCCTAGACTAAATGCCAAGTGAGTAGAATTATGGGTCTAGGGAGTAAAAATCAACCACCTTAATCCAACTGAGATTTCCAAGTAAACCCCCTGTATCATACTAGGACCTTTAGAAGACTGAGAGAAAGGCCTCACAAAATGGGTGCTATGAGGGAAGTGCCAGTTGCAAGTCACCCATTTGCCAAACTATAAATTGACACGGCTAGAAGAACAGGTCACTTGTCCCAAAACTAAAATACAAAGCAGAACCACCATTTTCAAAGAAAGCAAACTGAGGGTGAAACAGAAACAATCGCTAAGAAACTAGGTAAAAGTGGGGAACTGGGCCTCAGATTCCTAATTCATGTACTTTCTTTCACAAGTACCACAATATACTTTAAAGGGAAGTACTGGGTGGCAGTGATCAGTTTTCACAGTCTATGAATGGCTCTTGGGCACACACAGGATCTTCAAGTATTCCTGCAAATAAAAACAGCACTAAAGGTTCGCACTGCCACTTCATCCTCCCTTCTTTTTCAACAGGCATTGCTGGAAATGCATTGAGGGCATCATAGAATCCAGATCTAAGCCTACTGGTGATCTTTATACCCGGCTTATAAAAGAGATAAAATCTGTCTACCCTAATGGACCAGCTACTCGCTGCAGCTAATGCCAACTAAAAACTCAAGTCTGGACATCAACCAGTAACAAGACACTTGACATATAGCACACACGAGCACTCTACTAAGGTCCTACTGAAGCTTGCAAATCCTTGCACAGCTGCAGTGAGAAACTGAATAGTAACCTGCTTCTAGATCTTACCAATACAATTTGACAACTATTTTCCCCTTGACAGTGCATCGTATTTTGTGAAACAATCATATGGTTCATTTAGCTAGTAACAGTTGATTACAGTGGGGTATAAACACAAAAAACGAATAATTTTTTAAAAATATGGCTGAGGTCCAGGGAGCTACTTAAGGTCCCCCCAAAAGTTTTAATATGCCTGGTAAGATTTTGCTTTTTCATCCTGTGAACAAAATGTTCTTCCATATGACAAACTCACAGTACTGTACCCAAGCAGTCAAGTCCTCTTTGAGGATAAGTCTAGCATTTACATGAACTAGAGACACTTAAATTTCAGAGATATTTAGCCATCCAACTGGACAATTAGGAACATATACTGTCCTAGATGGACCTGGCATTCAGCTATCAGACTGAATGGGAGTAGTTTTCTATTCATGCTTCCTAATTAAATGATAGGACAATTGTATCTTGACCACCCTCAATAAAAGCCATTTGCAGCAACCAGAAGAGCAAAGAATGTCAAAGATTTTAGCTGCACTTCAAGTATTTACTTGACAAACATATGAAGAATTAGTAGAGCACAAACATCTTCATCTCCCCTTCCCTGTTTCAGATGCAGATCATCACTGGTTATGTAGCCCAAATGGCACCTGCACAGTTTACCTTCTGAGTAAAACAAAAAATAAGAAAAAAAGTTTCTGCGGGTGAATTGGTAGAACAAAAATCAGTTTTGGAAATTGATTGGGACTCACAACATACACTGCTTTCAAACCATGAAAAGAAAAGACTTTTCCAGGCTCCAGAAAGCTATGACTGAGGAACCATATTTTGTGGAGTCCTTGGTGCTGTCTGAGCTTGGTTGTTTGCTTGTAGATGTTTCATTACCTGACTAGGTAACATCATCAGTGCTAGTGACAGTAGAGTTTTCTCCCTGTTTATATACAGTAGCTTGCCCTGCCAGTGTTGGCGAGTGGGTGGTTTTCTCCTTGGCAGTGTCTTGATTAAGGTATTGTTTTCTGCTTGATTCTCTAATGTTAATCCCTTCTTATCTGAGTGTAGACTGCTCGGATGTGTTCTGGTCTTTGTTTCCTTCTTAGCTTTTTTTATTGTCTCTTTTGAATGGTAAATGTGATTTATCTGTGTGTGTCTACTGATGTCTGATTTGTCTGAATGCCAAGCTTCCGAATTCCCTACCATTTTTGGATTTAGCTTGGTCTAGGATGTTCAGTTTCCCAGTTGAAACTATGGTCGAATCTGTCCATGTGTTGCAAGATTAAGGAGTTTAATTAAGGAGATTGAGGAAGACACAACAAAAACTCCACAGTTCAACCCTGAGCTATATATATTCTTTTCTACTGAATAAATATACAAATGAAATGAATTCTGGTCTAGCCCTACATGCTCATCTACCAGCTACAGCACAATGTCAAATGTTCATCTCTCCAAATTGGTAGGGAGCAGGAATTTAAAGGAGGAGAATAAACTGCTGGTTTGAAAATGACTGCTTAAGCTGAGACGCTTGATCAAGGCTCATGTTCATATTTTTATTGCCATTATGTGCAAGAAAAACAGAAAAAAAATCTTCAACAGAAAAGCAATCAAGATAAAGAAGCAGGAAAACAACAACAAAACCTGACAGCCATTACAACAAAGATATAAAAGACACTCTTTTCAAACATTTATGGGTTAAAAATTAAACTTTGACCACGTGGAATCATTTTGGTCTGTCCTTCCATTACAAAGACAGACAGCCAAATTCAGAGGTAGAGTTAATGCCTGTCTCCAATCCAGGATTTCAAATACTGAATAGCAGTATCCTTCTGAAGAACAATGTTCACGCTCCATGCTTGCTAAACCCAAAGCTCTTCATAAATTGATAGTTTCCAAGCTTTTAGTATGCAATTTGACATCACGTTAACTTCTTGAAACTTCCTCTCCTCTCAAAATCACAGTAAACTTTTGATGAATCAGTCTCATCTGAAGATCCAAGGAAATACATGTAACATTCTTTAAAACAGGGCCATTAATTCATTAAATTAGGGCATTTCAATTTTTTGTTCCAACTTTCTTGCAAATCACCAACATCTATCTTGATAATATCAGGTCTAAATTCTGAACTCAACAGAGGTTGTAACTAAACATACTGCCATTCAGCTCTTTGAACAATATTATGTATCCACTGGCTTAGTTTTCAACTGTCCTTCCATGGACACAGAAAAGATTCATGTAAAGGATTTTTCTCCTTTACTATGCAGACTTGTTAGTAGGGAATGGAAGGGGCATCAGTAGAGAAATGAACTGTTCCCTTACATAAAAAGAAACCATCTCAAGATCCAATCTGTTCAGGAAGAGAACCTGGGAAGTGTGATAAACTCAATAAACTTGTAGAGATATATATTCTTATAATGGCCATCCAGCTTTTTGAAGCCCGTGTGGTAGCTCCAATTTGTCCCCAATTAAGGTGAAGAACTGGGACAAATATACATACATGGCCAAATAGCAGCATATCGTTTCTTGGTGCAGGTTTGTGTTTTAGCACAAAACATATTCCAAATCACGAGAATGTTTTTAGATAGATGCCCAGGCTCAGCAGTTGAGTCTTTACACAAGATGTAATGTTATTTTTTAAAAACAATACAGTAAAATGCTGTGTGTTCTTGGAACAATACTGGTTTCGTTAGTACGGTGCACAGGCATGAAAGATCTAGAGAAGAATTTCAGCCATCATAGTGACTCTGCTTAAGAGTACTGAAGATCAAGACAATATAGTTTATTTCAGATATGAAATGAATCACGGTTTATGCGTTATTCTTTTCCTTGATCCAGTAGTTTAGTTGGTACGTTCTTGCTCAGAAGCTGCCACGATGATACTTCCATCAGGTTTGTGGGGCACTCAATTGGAAAAATGTAGACAATGGAACTGTGTACCACTTCTAATGAAAGTCAGTGGCCAAAATATAAATTGGTTATCAGGATTTATAGTCCTCAGATTCAAATATAACCAAGCCTGTTCTTTGGCTAGAGTTCACACAATGAGATGGTCTAACATCACAACAGTAGGAGGCCCATATTCCCTATCCTTAGCTTAAGCACATCCATGCGGGATTGTGCAATAAGCAAACTATATTGGTACATGCTAGTATTAAGAAACAGTACCATTCGGTTACTATTTATTGCTCTTTATAGTACCTTTGATCCCTTCAGTAGCCATTTTTTACCAAGTACAATCCTGTTTAAAAAATGCCAGTCTTCAAGACTAATAAATCTGATATAGTAAAAAGTTAAATATATAAATACTTTTAAGATGTCAGAAGACTCAATGCTTCAACAGAGTAACTCAACTCTCCCTCTGAACTCTGCAAGAAGGCTCAAACAGAAGAGCAGTGAATGCTTAGACAATGATCGGGTTCATATATCACATTATGCCATGCTTGCTTAAACTTGGTTTGTTGAGCATTATCCTAAATACCAGTCTAAAAGAAAATCTTGACTGAGTTGTCCTGTTTGCATGGCTGTTACAGGCCTTTCTGCAAGGATTATACATCTGAGAAAAGATGATTCACTTGACCAGAGATAACATTTTTATCTGCCAAAATACAGAATTCCTGCACTTTATGACCACACCACACCCAGACTACCCACAACACTACTAACTAGAACAGCAGGCTAACAAGGTTTTTCGACACATTTCCAGGATTTTTTTTTTAAATTTCTTGTAGCATATTTCTGCCACAAATACAAGGGTTTTTTTTTTTTTTAACTCTTTAGAATAATTTTGGGGATCATAAGAATGCTGCTTAATAAATAAATCTTAGCACCAAAAGCAAGTAACACCAATACTTTCTTGTTCTTATCAGTTTTCTCCAAGGATCCAAAAATGATGCTTTGGATAAAATGACAGTCATCTTAGAATAGCGTTTGCAGCAGAAGAATTGGCTTGAATAAGAAAGTATTCAACAGAGTAAGTTCTACTATGTTGTACTGAGTTTCTCAGCCATTGGACTCCAGAAGTTTCTTACAGAACAGCTTGAGATGAATAAACTGCAAATTAACTCTAATTATCCAGCAGGTTTCATCATCTATCTCCCCATAGCTACCTGTTTCTAGGCTATCATTCTGAAGAAATGTCGACAGTCTGCAGTTACCAATAGAAGAGAAGGACTCCACAGTCTACGGTTAAATTAGACAGTTTTGTAACCCAGGAAGATGGCTGGGATCATACATTCCCTTAAGGCATAATTCTGTTAAACAAGGTTTATTGAATGAACTATAGCTTGCTGAGTTCATTCAATTTTGTAACTGATACTTCCCTGGCCAGATACATGCATCGAATCACCATGAAACAAACCACAATATGGCTTAATGTAATACATAGATCTGGTCAATCTACTGATAAACAGCCATATAAATATGGTAAATACATAACAATTGTAGCAATCCAAAATGGAAAATAGTAGCTTTGCACTAGCAGTTAACATATAGAAATGGCACTGAATGAATAATCACAAGATTTTGCTAGTCAGAAGCCTATCATGATAACGCCTATTTTCCCAGCATCCAACTTTCTAAAGGAGACAGACAAGCCATCATGCTAGCTAACTTAGGAACACAGTCAGACTATTCCAGGGTATATGCATCCTCCCAAGCCACATATACTTCCCAAACTCCCCTTCTGTTCAAAAAGTCACTTTAATCACAATGGCTAAAACTGATGGCACAATTGCTCACTATTTTGAAACAGAGATGAAAATTCCAACACATGCCCTGAAATAAGCAAATCACAATTAAAAAGCAAAGGACCCATTCTCAAACCCAAATTCTTGATCATATGAGATGGGCCCACCAAATTTGTTGACTCCCAATTTCTCCAGGTTAAGTAGCTACCAAAAGATTGTTCATCACTCTGCAAAACTACCAATGCTTTGTTCTACATACTGTACTGTCATAAACCATGGTTCATAAACCAAAATGCTTGGGTTCATACAACAAAGGTAAACCAAACACACCATCTATGGCTTAGCCTGTGTAACTTCAATCACCATGTCATTTCAAGAATCATATGTAGAGGAAGTAGGAAAATTGATGGGTATATAGCCATTCTACTCTTTGGAAATTTGTCACCATTTCCTTCTGTAATGAGAAACATTTTAGTTAGCCATGTTTCATGGAAAGACTAAATAAGAGTATCACTCAGAGGCATCTGACCATCCTTGATATACCTAATGAAAGGAAAAAAAATGTCACATTATCCTTGAGGTTAGAGAACAATCCCCAAGTAAGCACTGCGATGGTGATCACTTGAAGGTCATCATAGTCTTGGCATCAGCGAAGGAATTAGCCATCACAAGGCTAGCCAGCCATGACCAGAATGGTTTCTATGAGATGTTTACTATCATCAGAAATTAGCGTGTATAGGACTAAGATGAGAGTGTTTATACAACACGATTTCTGCATCAAGCCTGCTAGCACAGAACAAGACTTGAATCTGTTAGCAAAAAACTAGCCTCCAATGAGTCATAAAGACCTATGGTATGCAACTATCTTTCCTCTTCCTTATAGCACTTCAAGGCAGTACTCAATGACATTCCTACCTACGCTATTCACATTGCAAAATTCTGTGATTCTGGGCTTGAGATGGCTGCCACAAGCAGGTTACCTTCTTGCCTGTTACTGTGAAGTAATTAGCAGGCACCGCATCCTATATTTCACTGAAGAAAATACTTGGGCACTTTGAAGTACTAGGAGTTGTCCAACGTAAGTTTAATCAGAGCTATTCCATCGCACACATTTTACCATACGCACACAACTATCTCCTTGGGTACACTCCACCTTCTGCTGCAGTAAAAAACTAAAAGCTATTTAGTAT